CGGGTCTTTCTCACAGCTCTGACTTGTGTAAGGATATTCTGAGTTCTGTCCTTGGCCCCAGGCTGTTCCTCCGCCTGGTGAGTTGACAAGGAACCTGCGCAGGGTACCCGGAACCTCCTTTTCAAGACCCTCTCTTCTGGGCTGTGCGGGTACCCTCTGTGGGCTTGCCAACAGCTAGAAAATCGTACCTTGACATTGTGCCAATCTTCTCCCCACTACAGAGCTCCCCAGATCCACTCCCTGCCTCTTCCCGCAGGCTGACGTTTCCCTCTGCCACCCAGTCTCAAAACCCAGGAGTTATTTTTGATTCATCTATCTCCTTTATCACCCATATCTAGTCGCTTATCAAATTCTGTCAGTTCTTCCTTCAAAATGTCTCTAGCATATGTCCCTTCCTTCCTTAAAAATAAATTTCATTGTTTTTCCCCCCTTTGTATAACAGAGAAATATGTTCCGTGTGAAATATTTAGAAAATACAGTACCCGTGACCAAAGAAGATAATAAATAATAAATAAATAAATAATAAATAAATAAATAATAAATAAGAAAAAAAATCACCCACAGCTCCTCCCATGACAGCTAACTATTCCCATTGTTTGGCCACATGCAAAGTCCCCTGTCCCTGCTAATGTATTTGTACCCTTCACCTTTCTCTTTCCTCCTATTGTCCCCCATTCCTGCCTCCCCCCACCCCCAATGCTCCCTTCAAGGTCTCAAGCTATTGTCACTTGCCCTCCCACCCTCATATGCTCTGGCCAGTCTGAGCTCCTCAGACTCCATCTTCAAAACTTCCCGTCCCCAACCTGTTGAATTCAGGGAAGCGAAGCTGAGAGTCCACCGGAAGCAGGTGCCCCACCCCGGGGAGAAGCTCACAGCTTGGCAAGCCTATGGCCATTTCCTCTGTGGGAATTAGGAAGAGGCTTGCCTTATTCAGGGTGGAAGTTCATGCTCTCTTTCAACGTATCCCTCAAAGCCCATCGAGTGAAGACGTTATCCCCACACTAATATGCTGATGGTATTTGGAAGTGACTGGGCTTAGGGGAGGCCACGGCCGGATGGCATTAACCGTAAGAAGGCGAAGAGAGACTCAGGAGTGCCGGCTTGCTCCGCTTCCCCACCATGTGTTTCTCACATGCTGGCCAGAGGCCAGGGCCATGCTCTCAGGCTTCCCAGCCTTCAGAACCACGGCTGTGCAAATTTGTAATTTTTCCCGCTTTTTTTTGGTATGTGTGTACTCATGTTCACATGCAAGTGGTTGTATGTGTGCAGTTCACATGTACACGTATGCAGAGACCAGAGGACACCTGGGTGGCTCTTCCTCATGAACTGAAGATCACCTGCTTTTTGAGTTGGGGTTTCTCACTGGGTCTGGGATTCACCAGGGAGGCCAGGCAGATTGGCCACCAAGTCCCAAGCATCTTCCGGTCTCTGCTTCCCCAGTGCTGGGATCCCAAGTGTGCACTCGGGCACCTGGAATTTTTAAAACATGGGTTCTGGGGATTTGATCTCAGGTCCTCGTACTTGCATAATGCGCGCTTTACTGAGTGAGCCGTCTGCCCAGCCCCAAAGCCCTGGTTTTTGTAAATTACCCTTTCTTCAGTATTTTGTTACAGCGGCAGACAACACACAAAGACCCCGAGGATGGGTAACTAAGTGACTTGGTAGGGAGAGAACAAGCTTCCTCCTGGGGAGATGGCCCCGATTAAATATCCTCTGTCACATGGTTGGCAAGGCCTAAGCTTCCGGCTTCCCAGCACTTACCATCCCTGCTCAAGCTGGGCTACACCCTGCTTCGCAGGAATGTGTGTTCTACCCCTTCCTAGGCTTCTCCTGGAGCTTTAACCTTCTCCAGCACCTCCTTCTCCCTACTCTTCTATACCCACTTCTGTAGCTCAGAATGCCTATAGAGTCTGGACAGTTTCCCTGAATGCATTGATGGGTAGGATGGGGATTGGTAGTGAGGGCCTGGGTCTACCAGATCTCCCTCTCTACTATTAAAACAACCTCCCAACTTTTCAGTGTTGCTTGCTAGAGATGCTTCTCAGTTATTATTGGGTTATGTCCAAACTCAGCATGAATGGTAGCTAGCATTAGCTGTAGGTGCATTTTATCTCCCTAACTTACAGTCCATCACAGTTTAATAACACATCACCCTGTAAGTGTTGGTTGTCTCCCCTTGAGTTTAGGGGACTGACTGGGAGCTGAGCCTCCAGCCAGCACCACAAGTTTCCCAGTGTGTATAGTGCTAGCCTGGGAGGGGATCAAAATTCCAAATTCCAAGTCTGGCTGGGGGTGGGGAGTGGCCAAAGCTGTAATCCCAGCATATGGGAAGCTGAGATAGGAAAATCTCCAGGACTTTAAGGCCAATCTTGGCTATGAAGTGAGTTCCAGGCCAGCCTGTGCTACATAGCAAGACTCCATCTCAGAACAAAACAAAACACCCCCACCAAACTCATACATGGTTTCTTTCTCCTGGATGCATGATCATGTTCACATTGGCCTAATGTTGAAAATACCAAGTTGACCCATCGTTAACTTGAGACTTACCTAATACTTTAAAGGCCTAGCCCAGGTAGAGCAAAGCTGTCCAACTCTCCATCAACCTGTTTCTCCTTAATGAGTTCTGGCCCTGGCCCCACCTCTCTGTGGTCAACTCTGCTGCTCACACAGGACCGTGCCCATCTTGCCAGTTCTGGCTGCCTGATGCAGTGGCAAACACTCCCGTCCACTCATCCACTCAACAAGGCACACTGAGTGGCCTTTGTAGATTTCACAGCACTTGGCTTTGGCTTCTGATTCCAGAATGTTCTGGAACAAGTCTTCCACTCTCCAACCCTCCATATCTGACCTGTGAAATGGGGATCAAGGCAACTCTCAGCCCACTCACTTGTGAAAAGTCACTAAGATCATATATGTGAAAGCCTTTTGCAAACTGTGGCACTCTGGGAAGTGCCATTAACATTCCATCTTCCTTTGTTCAGGGTGTGCTAGTCTTGTGTTTCTGAGAGGTGGTGGCTGGCTCCCAATGGTCCTGAGGGTGTACCAGGCTTTTGAAAAAATATATGTGGATTAGTTGGGAGAATGCATTTATAGCATCATATCTACCTCCTTCAATGGAGGATTTACATTGACTCCAACACGACCAACCAGGCGCAGTGAAATAATAACATAATGACACTGACAGTGACATGCAACCTTGACAGAGCTCCTACTGCATGCTTGACACCTTGCTAAGAGCTTTTTGATCGCTGCCTCATATAATCTTCACAGTAAGTCCTCAAGGAAGGTACGGTTGTTGCCCTTATTGTATAGATGAGGAATTAAGCTGTGTAGCCGGTGACAGGTCTGCATAGGGAGCAGGGAAGTTGAGGACATGATGAGCCAGAATCCATAGGCCATCAGAGATCACACTTACAAAGGCACCCAGGAGAGTCACAGGCAGACTTCAAGCATGCAGTAACACATATGCATTACCATTTGGTACCAGGCCTAGGAGAGCATGGCTTTGATCTAAATCAATCCTTACAAGAACCCCGTGAGGAAAGTATTAGTCTTAGTATCTTTTCCTGTTGCTGTGATCAAATATCCTGGCAAAAGTAATATAAGGGGAAAAGGTTTGTTTGGGCTCACAGTTCAAGGCGCAGGCCATCACGGTGGGGAAGTCAAGGCAGAAATTGGCCACGTCACAGCTACAGTAAGGAAACAGAGAGGGATGGATACATGCTTGAGGCTGCTCAGCACCCTCTCTCTACTTCCATACAATCCAGGATCCAGCCATGGAATAGCACCGCCCATAGTGGACAGGTCTTCCCACCTCAATGAACTCAGCCAGGATAACCTCTCACAAGTGTGCCCAAAGGCCCATTTCCCAAGTGTTTCTACACTGTCGGGTTGACTGTTAACACTACCAGAGTGCTCTTGTTCATTTTGCATGGGAGGAAAACACCAACCACAGAGATTCAGTGCCTCTGCAGGCCACCCAGCTAGGGAATGAGAGGCTGGCTTGGGGCTCAGACCCTACTGTCTATTCAACCCTATCCATGGTCAGCAGTAGGGCTTCCAAGCCTTTTTTTTTCAGACAGACAGGAAAAGGATGCTTACCATAACACTGCTGACCATTCTCCATGGGCCTGTTAGTGGGAAGGTCCCTTGATAAGGCCTCTTCCATCTGAACCCACCTGGCCCAGAGATACCTCACTGGCTTGGGATGCCCAGGGCTGGGTACTCACAGGCCCTCCCTGCAAACTTCAAGACAACAAAGACTTACAGTACCTATCTTGGCCTTCCCTGCCCCCTACCCATTTTCTCCCCAAAGAAAAATGAAAGAGTCTGATAATTACTTCTATCTACCACCCAACTGTACTAATTACCAACCTATTTCTTCACAGTGTGACAGACACCAGCTCTGGAAAACACATAGAGATAAATTAGCACTAATTGGTTTTCCTCTGGCTGTTTGAATTAGTATTTAAAGCTCCAATTACAAAGCAGAATAATTGCTATTAATGTCCTATCGCAGTACAAAAGGCAGTTCTCTCGAGAACCAGCCCAGGTGTATGATTACTCTGATTACAGCATATTTAACCTGGCTCGTTAAGAGGGAGAGGAGCAGACGGTTTCAATATGGCCGACAGGCCACTTCCTGCAGGGCTAGGGCTGGAGGGAAGAAAAGGCCAGCAAAGAACGTAGGAGTGGAGTAGAGGGTGGCAGGGTGGAGGAGCTTGGACCTGCCTGCTCCTTGGCAAGGACCCTCTAGCAGAGACTCTTCAAAGACGTTTGAGAGGGTGGCACAGGGGGAATGTGGCAGGGTGGCCCCCATGTTACTGCCAGATTTGGTACCAGCCAGTAAATGGGTCTTTGCCTTCACCCACACCATCTTCTTCTTGATGGGGGTCTCAGTTGACGGCTTCAGGACATGAGCCTGGGCCTCACTCTACTTCCTTTGCCCGCTTCCGCCCTCCCACACTGCTTCCTTCTTGTCCCTCTTGTTTCTCTACCAGGTCCCTTCTCTGGCCGGGAGATGGATGCTGGGAGAGATGGAGGAAGGGTGCTCCCTGAACGCCTCCTGACGGCTCTGCAGAGGTGAGTCAAGTGGAGTCCTGGCTTTCCAGCTCCTTGGCTAGACGACAAGTCCTCCCACCTCCGCAGGCTTCAGCTTCTTCATCTATGAGATGAGGACCACAGGCTCCCCCACCTGAGGATCAGATGAGGACAGACGCGAGAAAGAGTCCTTGTGGATCCCGGCACCCTGCATCAATGGGGTTGGGTTTCTGCACTCACTGTGGAACGGCCGGCCAGGGCTGGAGCTGGACCCGCCTCTTCTCCCTTTGGGCCTCCTCTTCCTTTTCAATAAACTTCCTTCCTCTTTTTTGTCTCTTTCCCCAGCTTCCACTTCCTCCCTTCCTCTGGGCTGCCTCCCAGATCTCTAGTCTCCCCATTCACACTGGGATGCTAAGATCTCAATGAGTTCTCCTTTCCCAAAGCAGCTGCATTTGCGAGAGGGAGGGCTATGTTTAACCCAAAGAAATGAGTCACTAATGGTGAACTTTCAGGCAAACCGAGATGATATTTTGTGGGGGAGCGGGGATGTCACAGAGCTCTTCAGAGCCCCCTAGGCAGCTGTCTGCTCGCGGACACACACCGGTTTGGCGCGGGCCTGTGCCAGGCTGAGTCTGAGCCAGGGAAGGAAGAAAGAGGCCCTTGGGGACAAGACAGCAAGATGGGAAGCCCTCTGCAGGCACTTAGGCTACAGAGCCATCCGAGACTGCTGACCTGAATGTCGAGGTCACGTGAGACTTGGTGGTGGTGGGGTCCCCATTCCGTAGCTGACGGCAGGGCAGGGAGGAGCACCCCCCTCATCCATTTGCCCCCGCTAAAGTGTTCAGTTGTGTGTCTGGGTGGGGCATCCCCGAGGCTGTCCTGGAAGCTTAGTCTATCTCAGGCCTGCCATCCTTTATTTCCCGATGCCCTGTTTTGTGCCCCGTAGACCTCCTTCCTTGCTGTCACATGGGAAACAGGCCATTCTGAATTCCCTCTACAGGCCTACTCGGGGGGGGGGGGGGGCGGGGGGGGGGGGCTGGACCTTCTGAACCTTCCCGTCTCTTGCCTGCTTCCTTTTACAAGTCCCCCTGACTTTGGCCCTGTCTGTGTCTCCTGTATTCTGGGAGAGACATGCCACACAACAAGGGGTCATAGCAGCACCCCCTTTGGGGCTGTGGTCAAGGTTCAGCCCAGCTCTGCATCCAGTTAGCCAGGCAATATGCTTTATTTTCCTCCTCGGCCTCAGTTTCCCGCCTGTACCATGACGGACTGGCGCCAAGGGCTATTCCAAGGGAAGTTTCTAGCTTTAGGGAGCTCTCCACTCCTTTCCTCCTCCACCCTCCTGGTCTCCTGCATCAAGGAGCCTGAATATCTGGGCAGCACCCGTCAGTTGCTCTGGGGGGCCTCAAGAGCTTTGGTTAAGGGGCTCCTGAGGTTAACAGTGAGCCGGCCATCAGGGCCCGTCTACGGGGAGAAGTCCCTGGGTGGTCTCTGTTGGGTGGGCCCAGCTGTAGCCGCCCAGGCAAGGAGCAGCCTTGCCAACCAATCCCTCCTTTACAACCATGCTGGGAGGGACGTGCAAGGGCCTGTGGGTGGTGTTCACGTATGGGGGGGGGATTTCTTTTTAAGAGACAAGGTGGGTGGAATGGGGGAAGCCAGCTGGCTGTGGGCTCTATTTCCACTGACAAGGCTTTACCCTGTAGGTGTGAGGAATTCCAATTAAATATGCAGCCTATTTGTCTGTGTGTGGGAGAGGGTTTGCTGGAGGGAGGGGGATGGAGGCAGCGTCTCCGCCGCGGCAAACCAGAAATTAGCTCCGTTCATCACAGGCACACGGGGCTTCCCTCAGCCCTCCTGTGCACTCGCAGGAGTCGCAAGAAGGAGACAGACAGAGGAAGCTAGAGAGAGGTTGGGGAGGCGGGTTCCCGGCTGGAAGGGCTTCCGGAATCTCTGAGTGGGCAGGAAGGATTGCCTGACTCCTTGGCTCTTGGGGGGTTTTCCGGATGCTGGCAGTGAGCTCCTCTGGGGCATCTGTCCCCACTGAGGAGGATGGCCAGGGTGGTCTGGGCTCACTCCTGGAAGGGTCTCGGATATACCTGGAGGAGTGTCTGTGGATAGGGCAGCCACCACTAGCCTAGAGGACCTCCTCCTCCTCTATCTATTCCAAAGAAGCATGTGGGGAGCCTCAGTTGGGGTAGTGGTTTCTCTGTGGAAAACACCCCTAAGATGCCGGTTTGAGGATTGTGCAGAAGCACTTTGGGGTCACACAGGGCCCCCAGAAACTTGTGAACCTTTTTCCCTGTCCCTCAGTTTTCTTATTACTCATAGACCGAATGAAGAAGACACAATGCTATCTCAGCTACAAAGACCAATCTACATTAACCCAGAGAGAGGCAGTCTTTGGATAGTAAGTTCATGAGGCTTTGAGGAGGTTTGTGTGAGTGCCCACATGTGAGACATTTGCTGATCAGTGGGCATAGCTAGACAGGGATGGCTGGCTAACCTGGTCATTGCCTTTCTTAGTTTTTTGGTTTTTCAAGACAGGGTTTCTCTGTGTAGTTTTGGAGCCTGTCCTGGATCTCGCTCTGTAGACCAGGCTGGCCTCGAACTCACAGAGATCTGCCTGGCTCTGCCTCCCGAGTGCTGGGATGAAAGGTGTGCGCCACCGCCGTCGACTGTGCCTTTCTTAGTCTTAACCATCAAAACGCTGATCTATTCAGACTGCCACACCCCACCCACCGATTTCTCCATTGGTCAGTCCCCCGTACTTTTGATTTTTTTTTTCTTAAGTTTGGTCCCCCTCCTCTAAATTTACTGCTCATTTCCCAAGGGATGAAAACACAATCACGTGGCTACCTAGGAAGCAAAGTAGCTGGGTTGATACAAAAGGGGAGGGGGGGGGGGGTGTCGGGTGGCTGTTTTTCTGACAAAGGCATCCGAGATGTTGGTTGAGTCATCCCATGCTAGCAAGTACCCCCTCTTCCGAGCTGCCCCGGCGTGGATCCTGCTGAGTGTGGAAGGGGTTGTCTAGTGGCTTCATGCCTGCCTGAAGGATGGTATGTGGGCACAACTGGGATAGCTGGTAATGGGTACCAGGGAGGCAAGTCTGGGAGACTGATGGGATGAGTGTTGGACAAAATGGGGAATAGCACCGTTAAGGTCTGGTCTAGAAGGATGGAGCTACAGAGGAGGCAATTGTGCAGGTAAGTGGGCTGGTCATCCAAGGAGGAGTATAAACAACAGCCCCTGCCCTACCTTCCCCGTGGGCTCCCTTTCTTCCGTTTCATCTCTGCTGCATCCCTCCTTACTCCCCCAGTCTCCCCGTACCCCGATCAGTAGCAGCTCCCACATCTATAGGGTGGGGAAAAGGCATGGCTGCCTCAGGGGAGCCTCTGGAGCAGAGAAGACAAGACCATCTCCCAAGATGCCCTGTCAGGGTCCTGAGTTCAATGCCCACCAGGTAAGGAGCCTGAGTCACACAGGGGAGGAGGGCCTGTACTAGTCACTGGGTCCACTCTGTCCCCGGCCCCTCACTTGATAGAAAAATGAAATATGGGTAGTGGCTTAGACGGGAGGGCTAAAGGAAAGGGAGGAGAGCAAGGAGGTGGAGGGGGCCAGAGGAGGCCCAGAGCAGAAGATTTGCAGGGGGTGAGGCTTGTCTACTTTGGGAAGATTAAATTGGTAACATTGGGTTATGTGTAAGTTATCTTGAAGGAGAGAGGCAGCCATTCCTCAGAGCAGATGTTTATGGAAAATGCTGGAGAGGCAACAGTGGACTGAATTCAGACACAGACCAGGGACCCTTGGAACTCAGCTGGATTCCTCTTCAGCGGATACGGGGGACACAGACCATGAGATGGAGGGCCAGTGCTGTGGCACTTCCTACACTCCTTTCCCCGGGCACCTGCAACATGTGATGCTGTGTGTTATGTGAATCCCACAGATGACGTCAGCACTCCCTCTAGGAACTCACTGACGAAAGAAAAGCGTCTCTGGGGAGGGAGACGTACCTCCTCATCTCTTCTTGCTGCCCAAGACATGAGCTAAATGGAGCTAAAGGGAGGAAAAATTTATTTTGGCTCCTGTTTAAGAGGGTGCAGCCCCATCATGGCAGGGAAGGCCTGTCATTTAGAGTGGCAGGAGTCGGTGGTATGACTTTTTCACATCTTGGTAGATCAGGCGGCTGAGAACTCTGGTCAGAAGTGGGACTAGGCTATAACCTACAACAATCTGTACCCAGAGACCACCTACCAGCCACATCTCCTACTCTTAAAGGTTCCACAGCCTCACCAAACAAGTGTTCAAACAGGAGCTCACAATAGGAGATATTTTGCATTCAAACCGTAATATTCCACCCCTGACCCTCAGGGACCAGAACGAATGAGCCATCCACGTCTGAGATGCTTCTCCAAGCCCAGCCTCAAGCATGATAGAAGAGGGGCAGCAGGATATGATCCTGCCCCTCGGCGGTGCTTTCCGGAGGGGAAATCCCTCTAGTCAGAAGGTTGGGGAACAGCTAGGCTAACATTATGCTGCTGAATGATATTAGGAATGACTGCAATCCTGGGTACATGGAAGAAGGTGCCTTAAGCCACAGGTAGAGTTTATGCTGGATTGGGGAGGTGGTGGGTAAGGACCTTCTAGACTATGAGGATTCCTTGAAACAGAGTCTAGGACGGGCAGGGAGGGGGCTGGCTGTGCAGTCCCGAGACCCTCATCTTGAAGATGAGCAGGCATTGGCTGGGGCTACATTGGGTGGGTGGGGGTCTCCCTGTAACAGCCTGAAGACAGTTGGGAAACCCATCCCCCAGCCATGCTGCTCCCCGGCTCCTCTTAGGTTGCTGCCCCAGCATGCCTGTTACCCCGGAGCTGCTGGTGGCTGGGGCATAGGAGAAATTATGAATGGCAGAGCTGCTTCAAGCCCCCAGCCTCCCTCCTGAGCGGGAGGCGAGAACCCGAACCACGAGGTAGTTTCCAGGCGTTAGGGATAACCTTGTGGGAGGCAGAGAGAATCCAATTAGACAGGCGAGGCTGGGAGCTGTGTGGTGGTGAGTGGGCAAAGCTTGCTTCTCGCTTTCTGGCTTCCCTGGCCCTCAGTGGGATGTGACAGCTTGGCTCCCTCATGGCGGCCCCTCTCGTCCCATTTTTTCTCTCCAATCACTGTGCTCTGACCACCGCCCCATCTAACTCGGAGTGGGGCAGTCACGACGGAGTGAAACCCTGATTCAGCAGCACCCCAAAGGGAACGGCCACCACTGTGTTCCCTTCTCTTTAGTTGCCTCTAAATTTGGGTAGGGTGGTGCTTCCTGCTCCCCTGGGATTTTTGTCCTGTCCTTCCCTCCTCCATTTCTCTGGACTCTGCAGCAAGCACCTGTTTCACACGACCCTCCCCCGACCCTACTTGGCCTTGACACAAGTGACCTCACCCCTTCTGGAACAATCATCCCAACTGTCCCTACCAGCCAACTAAGCGAGTTACTATCTGAGCCTGGATCTTCCTGCCTCCAAGTTATCCTCACCGAGGGACATCTATGGTAGACACTTAAGCATGTTGGTACGAAAGTGGCTTATTGTGACCTTGGACAGGCCCCTGACCTCCTCAAGCCTTCAGCAGCTGCTCCCTCCCCTTTGGGGATCCAGGAAGGGGAAGAGCCTGGTGGTGGAGCTTACCCTTTCTGCTGGATAAGCCTGAGTGACAACCTTCCTCCCTAGCCCCTGGGTAGAATGTTCTGGAAAGTATTGTTTGGTTGGATGCTGAGTACCAAGGCCATTTCCAAGCCTCTTGGTGATCTCCCTGGCCCTTCTCTTCCAGCTCTGCCGGGGCCATCTGAAGGGGACATTTTTAGGGACGTCAAGATCCTTGGTCAGTCTTAGCACCCCTCCAAGAGTCAGAGCCTGCCACTGCCCAGGTACTGATTCCTCTGTCGTTTCATTACAGGCTGTCCTCAGAGGTGTGAGGAACTCCAATTAAACATTCAGCCAGTCTGCCTGTGTGGGGGCCTGGGCTATGGGGGAGGCTCCTTGAGCTGGTGAGGTGACTAATCCTCACACAACACCAATTAGGAGCCTCTAGGGAGGAGGTGTGGGAGGGTGAGGGGGTGGGGGAGGCAGGGAGGTGGGAGGAGGGGGTTTCCTCACCCAGTTAGCTGTCTCTGGGCAAACTGTGCCTTGGGTGGTGGCCAGAGGAGAGTGTGCAGTCCTCAGAAATCAGAGCTATATAAATGGCCACCATACCCTGCGGTGGGGTCCAAGGCACCCCATGTTTGGAGTCTATTAATACTTTCTGAGGACCGGGTACTCCTTTCTCCTCACAACTCCAAGGTGGCCTCGATTAACCAAAAAAGGACCTGAGCTACAGAGAAGTCGGTGACATATCCAAAGTCACTTAGCTAAGAGGTGATGGGGCCAGATAAATGTGTGACTCTAAGGCCAGTGTGTTTCATATTGTCCCGGGCTGCAAGACAGGAACTCTGAGGGTCTCAGCAGAGGACCTGAGTTAAGGGTCACAAGTGCCTCCTGTCCCCCATTCTGTGGAGAGACTAGACACTCAGGGAGATAGCTAGCTAGGGTGGGTCCCTGAATCCCCTCCCCCGCTCTGCTTGCCCACTGTGGGCAGAGTTCATGGGACTCTAGACAGCATCTCTACTGGGATGCATATCCATTTGGCTTAAACATCCATTGATGAATGAGGCTCCATCCCCCAGGCCTGGGTTTCACACTAGGAAGGGCCAGGAAAGCCAAGTCTCCAAGAAAAGAGATTCAGCCTGATCTTGAAGTTTGTGAGAAATATAAGAGGTACTGAGGGACTCAGAAGAAACTGAATCGGCTCACTGGGCCTGGGAGAGGCTGGATTTGAACCCTCAGCAGGAGCAGAGTGAAAGGAGATATGCTCTTAGGGGAGGAGACAGAGCGTCAGGGAGGGCAGACAGCTGGGCTGAGACCTCTGTAGAGCCCTCTCAGCCCTTCTCCCTCAGTCTCTGCTAAGAGCTCAGGCCAGCGAGAGACAGGCCTTTCATCCCAGAGCACCCTGTTAAGAGTGGGTCTGGGAAAAGTGCAGGGGTCAGAGCTTAAAACAGCAGCAGGGGCCTCTGGGAAAATGGGAGGCGGTGGGTCTCCAAACCCGCATTGGTCTTCTGAGGTATATGCACATGGAAAACAGTAAGCTGCTTCCCTTTCCCAAGGAGGACAAATGAGAGGGGCCAAGGCTTAAACTAGCCCTCGGGGGACTCATCTAAGATGCATCCTTAAAGAAGATGGCTGGGCACTGCATCACGGCAGTCTCCCAGGAGTCCTGCCTTTTTACCTGGAGGTGGGGAATGGATTATAGTCTCCTTCCTGGTGGTCAGGTCCACTGGGGCAAAGGCCCTTGTTTTCCAGACCTTTCCTGTAAAGTCCAGGGTAGCTCATGCCTTGGAATCCCTTTGTCCAAGGCTAGAGAGAGGGCTTAGTGGTTAAGAGCATGTACTGCTCTTCCAGAGGACCAGAGTTCGATTGCCAGCACCCACATCAGGCAGCTCACAAACTGCCTGTCACTCTAGAGCCTGGGGACCTCTGCATTCATGGACGCATACCCCCTTGCCCCCACATACACATGATTAGAAACAAAAGAAAACTTTAAACTAAAAACAAAATCCACTCGTCCAGAGGAGTCTGCCTTTATAAGACAGCAAAATATATAGCAGGGGGAAACTGAGGCATTTGCGACCCCGAGCCCTGGGTGAAGGTTTTGGGGGTCTGACACAACATTTCATCAGCTTTCTAAGGTCTCTTGAGAAGATCCTTTTGAGAATTGAGGCAGACCCCCAAGGTGGGAATTATTGGGCTTGAAGGCACAGGTCCACCCTGCCACGAGTCTACCGGGTGGTTGGAAACCTTCAGCTGGAAAAACATGCATGGCGGATGCTCAAGTGTTGGGTACATTTCTCAGGTCCCAAGCATGACTCACATTCCCTGTGATTTTTTCCCCCCTGGCACGGAGCAAGCACCTCCCTCATGTCATGCTGCCCTTAAGTCATCTTACTGACTGGGGTAGACATCCCCTACATCTTCAGGCAAAGGGACCAACCAGCTTAAAGTCTGAGAACTTCCCCTCAAAGTCTCACAGTTAGCCAACAGCAGTGTTGGGATCCAAATCTGGATTTCTGTCTTCTGAGAGGACGGCCCTTGACTCTGGGATGGTAAGTAAGTGACTCCTTGCTCCCCACTGGGCTGCCGTTGCCGGTGCCGGGGTGCCGTGTGGGACAGCGTTCCCAGAACCATCACTGGGGGTGGGGTGGGGTACGTGGTGGGGTGTGACAATCCCTTTTCTGTTCTTTGCCTTGCCCACCATGCTGGGCTGCCCTCGGTAGGTGGGCGGCCTCTCTTGTCAGTCCTGTGGAGGAGTTAGGAGTTCCGGGGACAGTAGGAGGGGGCCGGGGCTGGTGGAAACTCCCAGGCACGGGGCTGGGAGGAGGGACACGGGGGTGGGTCCCAGGCTTTTCCCCACACTTCCTCAGGGATCGCTTTACATAACCAGGCCTGCTTAGTCACCGCTTTTTACTTTTTTTTGGAAACAATTTTCTCAGCATCACAGCTCCCCGTCTCCATCCCTTACTAGTCACCGGTGCTAGGGAAGTCCCTTTTCTCCTGTTCCCTAGGCAACCCAGCACATTTGCCTTTCAAATGCTCCAAGGCCTGGGCGGGGGTAGGAGTTCCCTCCCCCTGTACCCAGGCCTCCCACACAGCCACTCCTGCCTCAGTTGGCATGTCAGGTGGCCCAGCTGCCAGAGGAGCGCAAACTCTGGTGCCTGACGGCGGGACCTCTTTCCGGACCCTCTGGCTTAGGCCCACAGCCCCCAACCCGTGTCTGGAGATGCCCATATGGGCCTTTGGATGTGGCTGGCTCTCATCCTTCTTCTCTGGGGGAGGGAAAGCAGGCCAAGAATCCCTGTGAAACGACAAAGCTGGGTCTGTCTCAACAAGGCCCAGGGGACTTGAGGACTGCCGCGGCCTTGCTGCAGTTACACCTCAGGCAACCGGCCTGGGGTCTTGGTTCCTTTTCCTCTCCGTGCAGGGAGTGGATGTGGAGTGTGGTGGACTTCCTTCCTCCTCTTTGGCTCTCTCACAACTGCCCATGGCAGCCTTGGCTACACAGCACTGCCCTTGGCTTGGGAAAATTAGACTTGAGGTACTGGGGTGGCAGTAGGTCTCTCACGAGATAAGAAACACAGGATAGAGAATTCAGAAGGCCTGACCGTGCGTGCCTCCTCTACTTTCTTACAAAAGGCCGTGATATATATTTTTTTAAATCTCTCTCTCTCTCTCTCTCTCTCTCTCTCTCTGTGTGTGTGTGTGTGTGTGTGTGTGTGTGTGTGTGTGTGTGTGTGTGTGAGACTCCAGGCTCATGCATGTCACAACACATGTGTGGAGGTCAGAGGATAACTTGTGGGAGTCGCCTGTCTCCTTCTACCACCTGGGTCCTGACCCTTAGTGGCAAGCACCTTTACCCAAGGAGCCATCTCACTGGCCCCCTTAATGCTGGCTGTAATGATACAAGGTGCTTGATGCCATGATTTAAGGGCACTTGTACAAAGTATAAAAACCGTAGTGCTGTATCACAGGACACATAGAGTCCCTTTGCGACTTCATTCAACACACATTTGTGGAATACCTACTACATGCTAAGTGTTGTCCAAGTCCTTAAAACCTTTAGATCCAGACCCCTGCTTCTAGCAGTGTGAAACTGCCCAAGTCATCCATTAGGGAGTGTGAGAGAACAGTAACTTTTACACAGGGACCGTGGACCACATGTGGGAAGTCTCACACACTCTCAGAGGGATGCTAATTAGGGGAAAGGTCTTGAGAATGTCTGGGAACCATGAACAGATTTCAAAAGATTGGCAAATGAGCAGAAATGAAAAAAATTCTACACTTGGAGTAAGTTTGAATGTGTGCTTCTCTAGGGCAGGGGTTCTCAACCTTCCTAATGCTGTGACCCTTTAATACAGTTCCTCAGGTTGCGGTGACCCCCAACCATAAACTTATTTCATCGCTACCTCAGAACCGTAATTTTGCTACTGTTGTGCACTGTAATGTCAATATCCAATATGTAGGATAGCTGATATGCGAACCCTGTGAAAGGGTCATTCGACCCCCAAGAAGGTTGATACCCACAGGCTGAGAAACGCTGCTCTAGGGAGAAGCCATCACTTAAATCTAATTGGGGTCTCTGATTCTCTAGAAGGTTCTCTAGAGGCTGGCCCAGTTTCAGAAGCAGCGGGGCTTCTGGGTATCCTAGGAAGGAGAGCTACCCCTGCATACACCTGGCGCTTAGGATCCCCAGTGGCGACCTGGCCAGTCCTCCCGGACCTCCCAGTCTTGCCTTGGCCAGGACCATAGGAAGGCCTGTAGCACTGAGAATCCCAGGAGATGTCAGCTGTCTCAGGTCCAGCCTTTGTTAGGGAGCCCTGGCAGTCATCTGCTTCACGAAGGCGCACATCTGGCTTCTCTACAAGAAGGGTGCCCCACCATTTGGGGGAGGCCAGGTGAGCTGGGCTCCTGCTGCTCTGGAATTAAGTTTAGGCCACCAGATCCCCAGGCTCTAGCCCCCTGCCTCCACCTTCACTTTTGTTTCCTTTTTATAGTTTGATGTTTCCCAGTCCTTTCTTCAGAATAAGCAGGCACATACAGCCGTTTTCTGGGTCTTTGATGTTGCTGTCCCTCTGCGGAAAAATGGGTACGGCTCTCTTGTCAGGTTAGAAGGTATCTAGGGTACACATTTCCTCAGATTTCCCGGCCTTCGGCGGCTTCTGGTTGCACTTCCTCCCTGGGTGCTGACCACTTGGATTGACCTCTGAAACCTCACAAACTTTCTCAGATGTCCTCATAGGCCCCCAGCAGCATTCTTGGGGCTGGTGGTCGGGTGCTCAGTGAGAGGCCTATAGGCTCCAAGCGGACCAGAATCTACAATTCAGACATAATTCAACTAGGGTCCACGTTCTTTAAGCAAGATCTCAGTCTGGCGATCATCAGGCTGACAGACGAACAATGCCCACATGACGCGTGCTGGGTTCCGAGTGCCTCTCGCTTTTGAGGAGCAGAGTTTGGAGTCAGGCCTGTAGAAAAACCCAGAGTGACTCTCACTGGCCCCTTATAACCTCCCCAGGTCTCGGTGTCTGTATCGGTGGCAGGTTGAGGACATCAGTTCTAGGCTGTCATGAGGGTTACAGAGACAGGCTCTGGCATGCCACAGTACCCCATGTTGGTTAGTTCTCTTTTGTTCCTGGCACCCCTGTCCCTAGAGCTGAACACATGGTGATGCTCAGATGGACAATGGTGCCAGGGAGGGCTCAGGGAACATAGGACAGCTTGGTGGAGGAAGTGGAGATGTTGGGGGGGGGGGGGGGGGAGGGGAAGAACCACAACATTAAACACCAAACGCACACAGCCTTGGATGGGAGGATGGACTCAGAAACCAGAGGCAGAGAAGGCACTAGAATCAGGGAGAGACAGCCTAGTTCTTTTGTGGCTGTTTGAAAAATACAGGTCTCTGGCACCTTGATTTTAAGGAAACTGAGGCAGAGGAGTGGCCAGGACAGGTCTCCCCGCCTTGAATTCTGACCCCGTTGCCAACGTCCCCGACCTCCCGTCCTGGGAGCAGGGCCAGGCTTGGGTGCTGCCAGGCGGGAGCTTGATTTAGCACAAGCCTTGTTAAGAGAAGCTAATTAACAAACCTGCATTTAAATAAGCAGCTGCCTGGGTGTTTGTAACCACCGCCTTATTGAATTGTGACAAGTTATTAGCCCTTGCATGTTAAATGAAACAGAAGCATCCAGGAAAAACCCCTAACTCCAATCTGCATAAAGCAGATTCCTGCGGAGAAAATGACGGCGAAAACTGATTCACTCTGCCGCGCTTCGGGGAGAACTCCAGGCCTTCACTCTGGGTTACATAACCCTCTGTCAACAGTGACGACATAAGGAGAGAAGCATCGCGCTATGGAGAGGACCATCAGAGATGCCTCAGGCTCCATCCCTAGTTCAGCCGCCTTTTGGGGGTGGTGTGGTTGTAGCCAGGCCCACATAATGCCTGCAGGTGCCCCTTGGTCATGTGGCTGCCACTATGCCTATTCCTCAGCACCATGGTGTGTCCACCTTTGCTGCTCAGTCCTCTGCTTGTCCTAGGTCTACAAGTTGCTGTGGGATGGCAGTGAGCAGCTGACCGTAGAGCCCAGAGCCTGGCCACATGACAGCGTAACTTCACCTAGGAAACGTCTCTACATTTTCTTTAAATGCTGGGGGCCGTGTGAGCAAAGGTCAGATTCAGTGCTGCCCTGGTTCACTGAGGGAAAAAAAAAGCCATTGGCTTTCAATGATCCCTAATCAAGGACACCAGTCCTTAAAGAAGAGGACTCGGAGTTCCTTGTCGCTATGAGACACCTTTGGGAATCTGGCCCAGACCCTTCCTGGTCACTCCAGCCCAAAGCCCAGGTCACAGCTGAGGTTTTATCAAGAGTCCAAACTGAAGATGATACATCTGGGGGAAGGACAAAGGGGAGGGGGGGTATTTGGGGGCATATTTATCTGGTCACAGATCCTATTCCTTAGGAGAGGAGGCTTAAGAGAAAAGCTGGGGTGGAGGGGAGGCAGGATGATGAGAAGTGCAACTGAGTCAGATGGACTCAAACTCTGTCCCTTGGTGGAAGTCAAGAAGAGGGAGGGAGGCAGAGGGACCAGAGTCGGACATAGGGCTGTTCCTTGGGCTTGGTGGCTGCCTGCTAGTGGAGTCTGGAGACAACAGTTGTGTAGGTAAGAGGGCAGATGTTGAAGACAAGAGGAGCTGGGTTTAAATCTCTGTTCCACTCCGTTACCAGCTCTGTGTCTCTGGATAAGGGAGTTGACTTCTCTGAAGCGTCGTGTCCTTGTGTGTCAAACAGAGCTCATGACGGTCTCGCAGTGTGGTGTGGAAAAGAACTGATTCTAAATAATCGGTGTTTAGGAAGTGTCCAGTAAAGAGTAGGAGTGGAATCCACCCTCTTCCCTCCCTCCTGCTTACTTCATTGATCTTTTTTGTTTCCCAACCAGAGAAGTGCTAATCCTTCTATTCTGGAGCGTTCTGGATTAATGATACCAGGGTGGGAGCCCCCAAAGACTCGGTTGTATCCTGTGCATGTCTCCCCTAGAATGAAGCTGGGGTGTAT